GACAGGCTGAGAGAGTTGGGGTTGTTCAGCCTGGAGAAGAGAAGGCTCTGGGAGACCTTATAGCAGCCTGCCAGTACCTGAAGGGGACCTACAGGAAGGGACTGTTTACAAGGGCATGTCAGGATAGGACAAGGGGTAATGGCCTTAGGCTGAAGGAGGGTAGATTTAGATTAGATGTTAGGAAGAAATTCTTTGCTGTGAGGGTGTTGAGGCACTGGAACAGGTTGCCCAGAGAAGCTGTGGATGCCCCATGCCTGGAAGTGTTCAAGGCCAGGTTGGATGGGGCTTTGGGCAATGGGGACTGTTTACAAGGGCATGTCAGGATAGGACAAGGGGTAATGGCCTTAGGCTGAAGGAGGGTAGATTTAGATTAGATGTTAGGAAGAAATTCTTTGCTGTGAGGGTGTTGAGGCACTGGAACAGGTTGCCCAGAGAAGCTGTGGATGCCCCATGCCTGGAAGTGTTCAAGGCCAGGTTGGATGGGGCTTTGGGCAATGTGGTCTAGTGGAGGGTGTCCCTGCTCATAGCAGGAGGGGTGGAACTAGATGATCTTTAAGGTCCCTTCCAACCCAAACCATTCTAGGATTCTGTTTAGGCAATCTGTTCAGCTAGTTGCAATAAAGGTGAAATGACTGATTTTTTTTTTCTTTCTTTCTTTTTTTTTTTAATCTTTAAGTAATCATTTGGTTTTGGTTAAGGATTCTGGGATGAAATACATTCAGAGAAATGCAGATCCACCAAGACAAAAACTTATTCTACAGATATATGTATATATCTGAAAACTTATCCAGGAAGGTTTCTCAGGTTCAGGGTAGTGCTTCTGGATTGGTACTAAGGATCTGTTTAGATCCCCCCCAAGTTCCCTTTGGGATGCCAAACCCTGCGCTTTTGAGGGATTGGCTACTTATTCCTTTCCATGGTTTGCCACGTACCCCAGGTCACTTCAGGGAGTGTCGAGAGACAGGGTGTTTAAGCTATAGAGCATTGTCAATGTCAGTCCCTGTTAGAAGGGTGTACTGGGCAAAATGGTTTGTATCCTGACAGTGCGCTCAAGTCCAGTGGGCAGAGTCTAGAGCTCAGTACTGAATCCACCACACCAGAACCTAGCTTCGTAGGCTGGAAGATTCCCAGAAAAGGGAGCTTGGGTTACTTCATTGGCAACTGCTTGTTTGAGTGGTTTTCAGTATGTGTGATACTCAAGGTGTCTGGCATTCACCTTCTGCTCTCTTACTGGCAGCTTCTGGAACTCAGAGGGTCCTGTTGGCTCAAATATTGCAAAAGGGATTTGATTGTCCAGGTGGCTTCCACAGTATCCCAGAAACTGGGATTTCTGAGACTGCTTTTCTTGAGTGTTCTGAAAAGATATACACTGAGGTATACTTGCATACTGTAATGAGCAAGACCATGTGATTTTCTACTCTAGTTAAAAAAAAAAAAAATCCTTCTCAAAATACAGAAAGATAGTGTTTGTGAATTTTAGAATCCAAAAATATGACTCTGTATTAGATCATGTGTTCCCTGCTCATGAACACATTCTATTGTATGTCCTCAACATCCTGGGTCATTATAAAATTTCTTTGCATCTTCTAGTCTTCCATTTAGATTAGGCTGCTGTTGTCAGTCTTGTGTGCCCCTCTGTACATTCAGTGGCTTATTTGCCACTTCTGCTGTCTGTGCCACAATACTACATAGAAACTCTTGGTGACAGATTTGCAAAACTATGTATGCAACTTAAATTTGGAGTGGTGCTTTCTATTGCACTGTAAATACATAGATGTCAGTTATCAGTTCTGGAGGCTATCACAGTATTATTCCAGTCTGTTTGCCTCCTGGTGTGTACAGAGAAGATTATTACTTAGTTACTGGTCTGTCTTGTATCAGTTTAAAGATGATGCTTCTACATGTTTCACGTCAAAATGCAGAATGAGCCAATACAGTTTTGACAAACTAGATGACTGATTTGAAGGCTAGTGTAACTGTTTTTTTTTAGGACAGAATTCTCGTATCATGTAAAGGCAATAAATTAGTATTTGAGAAGCAGGGATCTTTAAGATTAACTATGACTGAAAGACTAATGGTAGGTATTCTCTGAACTTGAAGGTTTTAGGGGTAGATTTCTGAAGGTGCCATCTGAGGCTTTCAGAAGCATTTAGGCATCTACCTCTTACTACAGGCTCAAGGGAATTAAATTATGTTTCTCTGAAAATCTCTAAGTGCTGTGTGCCCCTTTAGGAGTCCAACTGTCTGGCTCCAGTGTAATTTGCTACATGTTCACATGTAAATAGTATGATTTATTCATTCTTACTTAACAAAACTTATATTCAGAGAATGTTTAGATATTTCACTACTCGTCCTCTGAATACTACTGCCTTTCAGATGCAAATAACTTGCATGTTGTGATAAGGGCATATAAATTCAGCCTGACAAAGAATGTGTTACTACCTGCAAAAATTCTGTCTAGCTTGAGCTTTTCTCACCCCTAGCTGTTCATGGCTCCTGCACAGATCCGTGCAGATTGGAGTTGGTTTGAGCTAACACTTCTAGAAAACTCCAAGAAAGATGTTAAGATATCCTTCCTGGGCTATGTGTCTGAATTGTTAAGACCACCAGCCTTTATAGCAGTCTTTAGTTCCAGCTCTCCCGATTTGCAAATGTGAATATCGTTGACTGAAGTCAGTGGAAAAGATGGTTTGATGTCTGTACAAGCAAGAGCTCAAATTATACCTTTAGTGACAGCAGTGTTGTCTATATCTTGGAAAGATTTTTCTCTATCAAAGATTTTTCTCAGTGTTCTATAAGCCATTTTTAAAAACTTGTTACTGCTTGATATCAAGAGGAAATACTGAAGAGTACTCCTAAGCTCATTCAGTGAGCTGATTATTAAAGTATATTGATTATTAGAAATGCTATTTAAGAGTGCTGGCATTGATAACTTACTCCCATGGAAAATTAGCATGAAAAATCAAGATTTAAAATAGCTTCAGCAGAAAAATAATTAGTAGTGCTGGCTTTTAAACTCTGTTGTAGTTAAACTGTAGGGTTTCCTTTCTTCCTGATCATAATGGTTGCTGAAACCAAATGTGCTGTTAAGAACTCAAATAGTTCTACTTTTGTGTTTATTGCATTTTTCTTTTTCCTCCTTAGAAATGCAGAACCTTCTGAAAAAAGACTTCGCATGAATAGCTTTGTGGCAGATTTTGGAAGACCTCTAGAGTCGGAGAGGGTCTTTTCTCGTCAAATGGCTGAAGAATCCCGGTCACTTTTCCATTTCTGTATTAATGAAGTGGAACATTTGGACAAAGCAAAACAAAGTCAGAAAGGTCCAGGTCTGGAGAGTAATATCCACTTCCAGGAAGTTCCTGGGAGCGGTGGAATGTTTGAGGAGGACCTGAATTGTCTTACAAAATTTAACATTCCGAACTTTGTGAACACTGAGCAGAACTCTTCACTAGGTGAGGATGATCTCCTCATCTCAGAGCCACCAATCATTTTAGAAAGCAAATTGGTCATGCAATCTTCCCATCGGATCCTTGACTGAAAAGTCTTACTTTAAGGTAAACATTCCCGTTGTTGTCCAGTTTGAAGCCTTTCTTGGCCTTCTGGTATTTTGATAGAAGGTATTTCAGACCTGTGCTTTTTATTGTATGTAAGACTGGCTGTGCTGACAACTCAAGTTTAGACAAGAAGTAAAACACTGGATGCTTTATTCTGATGCCTTCTGTGGTCTAAACCTTTTGCTCAGCATTATTTTTGCTTCCTGTTTTTTTGTTTTGATTTGTTCTTTAAATGTCCAGCTTCTGAAGGATACCATAATAATTTGTGGGGACTGTGAAGGCTGGCACTGAGAGGTCTATGAAAACTCCTCAGCCAAGAAAAGTGTAAACCTCAAATTAAGACTGAAGCAAAGAATAAACAGGCAGCCCTGGGGATGTTCTGCAGCTCCTGCCACTCCCAAAAAGGACACCTGAAACTAAGCAGCACAATGGATATCTGCTTGGCATGAACTTTAGCTTCTGATTCCTAACTGCTATTTGGTGCAGGTTAAACCAAACTTACAAAGCTTCTAGAGGGAATACCTTGCATGTTAAATGGATTGGTTACAGTGTTTACAAAATACTACCACCACCTGCTGCTGAGTAAAAGCAAATTGGTGCCTGTAATTACCATACTTCAGAGTGATACTCTGACAGCTGCCCAGTGATCACCTGGAATTAGTATTCTACACACAAACAGTAATTTGATTTTTTTTTTAATTGCTGATGTAAACATCCAGTCTGGTAAGTGCAGGATTCGGTAAGTAAATCACAGGATATCAGATAAAAACTATTCTTCTTTTGCCAACAGAGTTACTATATGCAAGTGGTGGTGGTATGCTAAGCTGGTGTTATGCTTTGCTTATAGGCTGAACCTTCCTATGCTTTTTGGCTCTATAAATGGCCCTTTTTTGACCAGCAGGCCAGTGAAGGACTAGCAGGCTCTGAGTTGAGAGGATCAGCTCCAAAAGCATAGCTGAGCTGCACTTGCTCTGTCTTCTTTTTGTACTCAGTTGGGATGGTGTTGCAACCACAGCTGTTCTCCCAGGAAAAGGTTTGTTAAGGAATTGAATAGGTGTAATTTTAACCTTTAAGTTCATTTTTTTTTTGGAGAAGGAATAAGCTTCTGAACCTTAGCCAGTACTTAAATTACGTTTCAGCTTTCTTCAAGAGATGGGTAACTAATGACCAAATTTTAGAGCAAGCACACAGGATGCAGAGGAACCAGGTTCAAATCCTTTGCTGGATTTGGAGTAAGAGTGCTTGGCAGGAAGTTCTTAACTGAAATGAAACTAGTGGATTCTAGATCCTGTGCCTAACTGGGTTTTCTTGAAACTAACCTGCTCTGTATACATGTTTGTGTCAGAGTAAAAATGTAGCAATGGCCTGCTGATACATTCTTCAGACACCTAAATGCTGATGAATTCATTCTTCCTTCACCTGGCAACCAGAAAAAACAGCGAATGGGTTGTGTGTTTAAAGAACACAAGGAGTGGGGGAAACCTTGTTTTCATCTCCTGTATCCTTATTATAAACCACTTATACTTCCATTTCCTGTTTTCAAATGTAATTCCTGCACTACTTCCTGGTGTTTAAAGTAATAGGATTATACTTAAAGCAAATTAGACTGTTTAAAACTAGCAGATTATTGTTGAAAATAGTTCCCAAGAGAAGACAGGAGTGAACCCTGTTATAAATGAGCATAGCTGTATGGGTTGCAATGTAGGTCTCCAGTATTATTCTTCAGGTGCAGAAAAGGTTGCCTTTTACAGTAAGTACTTAGCTACAGCATTCATAGTTGTGGTTATGGACTTTCCTTTTCTCTTTGCAAATCAAGAAATTTGGGAAATCTGCCTTCTGAATGTGGCAACTGCTTCCTGCTACCTCAAACAACTGTTAGCTATCTAATGGCTAAGTGTTGTCTGAACTGAAGCTTAATACTGCTCTTGCTAACAAGCTCTGGGACTTACACTATGGCTTTTATAGCCTATTTCTGGATGAGCAAGCTGCCTTCAGTGATGTTTGATCCATTCTTTTTCAATTTTTTTCCTTTGCCATGCTTGAAAACAGAAAGGCTGCTTAAATGAGGGGAAAATCTGTGTAGAATCCTGCAATTGAGAAATGAAGCTTAAAGCAGTTAAAACTAGGTTTCAAAATAATGCAGGTCTGGTTTTAGAAAAAGAAAAGCTTGATCTTCCCAGTGGGTTAACCTGAGCTTTTCTTCTGCCACCTTAAATCTTTGTGGCTGTTGTTTGAGTCAGCTTTCGGGAGAAAGTATTAACGTGTATGGATGCTGGTGACACTTAACACCTAGATGAAAGATATTTAATCAAATGATCAAGGGATAGTACCAAATTCACTTACAATGCATTTGAATTGTATTCTTAGTGTCCTTCTGAAGCATGTATTAATCCGGTAAAGGTATTTAAGCATTTGGTTCCTGCTTTTGTTCTTTCCTGATAGTTCTACTTTTCCCATCTTACCTCCCTTCTATCTTTAAAGCCCTTCATTCTGTTTTTTACAGCAAAGTAGCCTTGCAGTCAGTCCCCGCGGCACAGCTCCCACATGACTTCGGAAGCACTGTGGCAACAATGCAGTCTGATTCAGATTTGCAAAGGCAAACACAGAAACTTTCTGTGGTCTTCAAAAGCAGTTGTTTTAAAGCTGTTCATTCTTTCTTTTTCCTTTTTAAGAACTAATAGACACAGTGTTTTGCCTGAGGGGAAAAAAGGGATTGGTATAATAACCAGCTTTGTATAACATGTTTAAAAAACTTCAGCTTTTCCCAGAAAACCAGTATGACTTGGTTTGCTATGAAGTGAATAGAAAGTGTTTTGACCAGGGTAATCCTTCAAAATGAATACTCACAATTTAATGGTGTTTGAAAATGGAATTCATAGAATCACAGAACAGTAGGGGTTGGAAGGGACCTCTAGAGATCATCTAGTCCAATCCCCTGCTAGAGCAGGATCACCCAGAGCAGGTTGCACAGGATCGTGTCCAGGTGGGTTTTGAATATCTCCAGAGGAGAGAGATCTCTTCTCAGTCTTCTCTCTTCTAGACTAAACAGACTCAATTCTCTCAGCCTTTCCTCATAAGAGAGATGCTCCAGTCCCCTCATCATCTTCTGCTGGACTCTCTCCAGTAGTTCCCTGTCTTGAACTGGGGAGCCCAGAACTGGGCACAATATTTCAGATGTGGCCTTACCAAGGCAGAGCAGAGGGGGAGGATAACAACCTCCCTTGACCTGCTGGCCACGCTCTTCTTAATGCACCCCAGGATACCATTGGCCTTCTTGGCCATGAAGGCACATTGCTGGCTTGTGGAGAGCTTGTTGTCCCCCAGGACTCCCAGGTCATTCTCTGCAGTGCTGCGTCCCAGCAGGTCAACTCCTAACCTGTACTGCTGCGCCTGGGGTTATTCCTCCCTAGGTGCAGGACCCTACACTTGCCCTTGTTGAATTCTACTTGGTTCCTTTCCACTCAACTCCCCAGCCTGTCCAGATCTCACTGAATGACAGCTCAGCCTTCTCATGTGTCAGCCACTCCTCCCAGTCTAGTATCATCAGCAAATTTGCTGAGGGTACACTCTGTCCCCTCATCCAGGTTACTGATGAACATGTTGAACAAGACTGGACCTAGTACTGAGCCCTGGGACCCACTGCTAGCTACAGGGCTCCAACTAGACTCTGCGATGCTTATCACAACCCTCTAGGCCCTGCCAGTTACTGCAAGTTTTGTTACTGCTTGGGCTGTTTCAGAGCCTGTTCTCAAAACTCACTATAAATGCAGCACTTGTGGTAGTTTTAACTTCATGGAGAATTCCCCTAAGATAACTACATATGTTTCTTTGCATAAATATGTATTGTATTCTGTAAGAACTTCCTAGGTCAAGTTATGCATTCCAGTTTTCAAAGGTGAATATTTGTGAAATGTTCTTCTGTGTAAACAAGTTTTAGCTATGTACTTTTTAAAAAAAAACAAACCACAAAAAAACCAAAAAACCTACAGTGTAAAATCAGAAAATGCCTGCTCATAGAAAAAAGGAAAATATCACAAGCTTCTTCACTAAAATGCAGTGATGTACAGTCTCTGAGGCTAAAAGATGAAGTGATGTATATCTGTCATGCAATTTAGTATTTATGTACCTGAGCTGTAGATCTTAAATACTTTAATATGTTTTTTGCCACTCTGTGATTAAAAGAACCCTGCAAAACCCTTCACAAAGGAGGAATTCAAGTGTGCTTTTCCCCTTCTACCCTGCCCTATCCTCCTGGCAGTGAAAGATGGCAAAGTACATCAACTGGAGATACTACAACGCTGGACTGAACTTACTTGGTAGCCTCAGGTATTGTCAGGTAGCAAGGACAGCACAGAGCCAGAGCCTTTCACCACATGTTTCCCAGAAACAGCAAGAGTTGAAGGCCTGTGCTTTCTTAATTTTGGACATGAGGTATGTAGTTAGCTGGATGAAAGGTCAAACATTACCATTCAAAGTTAGCAGAAGACTTTCTGTTCAAAAGAGTCAGGGCAGCACTTGATGCATGGGCCCCCCTTCCCGGTGGAACTGCATTTGCACAGCTAGTGCTAGTATACAGATCTGGTTTCCTTCTTTTTTCCCAGAATAGGTTAAATACTGGATAGAGTAGCAGACTTCAAAATATATTATGCACTAGCAAATAAAGTCTTCATCCATGATAACCTATTTAATTTGTTACATAAACAATTTTGACAAGTATTTCAGAAAACTTGAAGTAGACCACACTGCTTATGTCTCTGCCACAAATGCCATGTGAGACCTGATATTCTTCTACACACCCTGTTTTCCTCTCTTGAAGCAAATGTCTTCTCTAATCTAGGTCACTGAGTCACTCAGCCAGCTGCTCACTTGAGTTCCTAAAAGCTTCAAACGTGACAATTCAAATTATTATACTCCAGCTGCTTTGCTGTAAACAAATGAATTCCAGATAAACATAAGGCAATGATTGAAAGAAATTATGTTTAAGATTCTTTTATTCCATTCATTATAATGCCCCCTGGAAATGCATGATGAAATAGCATGGCGTAAGAAAAGGAAAACCATACAGGAAAAATCCTATTACTCTGAAAGATCCCACTGAAATCTGCAGTGGAATACAGTAAAAGTTAATGACTTGGTTTGTCAGCCTTTGCT